CTGTTCCTGTTCCACCCTCAGCGAGCTCATGAGCAGCTCTGTTGCTCAATGAAAGACTGACAGTGTCTTTGCCTTCTGTGGTGTGATGTGATCGCCCCTAATTGATTTTGGCCGCGGGCTCGCAGTGCGTGCTGGATATCTGGGAAGAGCAATAGCTTTAACATGCAATCATCCTGGGCAGCGACCAAGACGAGCCGTCCTCCAGCAATCACTGGACACCTTCCTGCTGCAGCTCCAGTGCTCCAGCTTAGCTCATAGTTTGGGTGTCTTTCCTTCGCAGCCTCATTGAAGCACCTGCTCGCTGGAAACAAAGCCCCTCACTCCTGGCCAGTCATCCTTGGATTTCAGGGCTTTGGACATTTATGGTGAAATTGTGAATGTTTTTCTCTGGAAAAGCTAAACTTCTCCATTGATCTAGAAAACCTCTGTAAAACAGTACCTATGTGATAGGCTTTGGAGGTGTGCAAGGACACAGCTGAGGTGCTGTGAACATCGGTGTGGGTGACACAGCACAAAAATAGCTCAAATCCTAGCAGAAAGACAGCCCTCTCCTTTGGTTCTGTGTTTCATTTGCATTTCCTCCCCATTACATCCCAAAGCCTCTCCCTCATCACCAAATACTCTTCTATCTGGTCAGATCTCCTTCCAAGATCTACTGCTTGCCTTGTTGGACTTTCATAGTGAGACTGGTCACTGGAGATGTTTCACTTACTGCTCTATGAACAACCCTTCTCGGTTCATGGCATCACCAGATTTTAGGATTTCTCAGGCCAAGTTTCCCTCTAGGATCTCAGCTGAGAGTTTAAACCGTTGCACTGAGAACAAGGGTAGATAATCTTACCTGGTTTATGTTTTGTAAATCAAAAGTAAGTACTGAAACCCAAAGCTCCTTTACCCAGAACGGCAGATCGTGGCTCTGATCCACAAGACCAGACCAAGATGTGGATTGATTTATAAACCAGCCCAGGTTCACACACCTGCTCCTGGGAAGTTTTTTCTATCCTGTAGCTGTACACAAAAGTGCAGCAGTGCCCTCAGCTTTGCACCACCTGCCTTTTAGCAGAGGTTGGTTGCTGATTCCATGCACAGTGTCCCTTTGGCTTCCACTTTCAGTCCCTGACAAGGATTTTGCTGTTGTATTCTCCGTGCCTCGTGTGATTGAAAGCCCTCTCTCATATCCCTTCAGGGCAGTCATTCCTTTACTTGTTTTCCTCCTCCACAGTTTTCCCCTGTGTCCTTCATGAGAAAGATGAATAGGACTGCACACAGAATCCCCACCCCAAGGATTTATATAATCACAGAGAGTTTTTCTGTGCTGTTTGCTATTTGTCTGTGATAAGTCCTACCTCTTGGTCTCTAGTGAACACTAAGCTGATGTTTGTAGAGGCTGATCCACAGTAAACTCTGTGGAGCTGTGATAACTGGACGTGCTTGTGGCTGGGGTCCCTTTCTCCTGGGTGCTTTACTTTACATTTGGCTCAATCCAATCTCCTCTGCCATTTTCCTCACAATCCCCTCAGTACCAGGAGATCCTTCTGCATCTCTTTGCAGTCAGCTTTAGCTCTAAATAATTATTATTAGCAAACATGATCACTTTCCCTACCACACTCCTCAGTGTTTGTAAAACACTCCTCTGTAAAAATCTAAGTATTTCCTCCTGTCCTTTGTTTGCCATTATTACAAGTTTGTAATTGAAGAAAAGTCTTTCCCTCCCGGGGAGGGGTCTTGTTAAAAGATTTCTCACTCTGTCAGCCTTAGTGAAGGGTTGTGTGACACTCCAAATAGTTGTAATAGATTTGTGAGGTGTGATTTCTCCCTACAAATGCCACAGTAACTCCTCCCCAGTCTATCAGTGTCATCCAAGTGCCTACTAATTCCAACATTTCTGCCAGTCTGTCTGACAGAGGAGTCAGGCTTCCCGGTAAATGAGTCCCAGGAGATGTTTTAGGAACTGGTCACGTATTTACCACAGTCCAAACTCCAGGAATACAGACTGATTTAAGAAAGAGGCTTCACACCACAGCCGGTGGTGCCACAGTTTCCTACCTAAGGAACACCAGAGCTCTCTGGGAGAACAGCAGCTCCTTCTGGCAAGTTATTGCTGCTCATCCTCTCAGCTTGATCTGATGGAGTTATCAAGGGTTAATGAGCCATCACCCATCAGCTGAGGTGGCTGCAGCCACATCCCGTGACAAAGATGGGGGGGTTTAAGCCATTGCATTTTACTTCACAGGAGAATTGGATAAGAAGACACATTTATTCCAGCTTTTCTGACAGGCAGCAACTGATTAGGTAGGACAATTCCTCTGCTAACAATTGTAAATCACCACCCTTGGCACATGGGGTGTTCATATTCCAGCTGGCTGGGAACTGCCCCAAAATATCATGGAATCACAGAAGGGTTGGGTTGGAGAGAACCTAAAGCCCATCTCATTCCACCCCCCTGCCATGGGCAGGGACACTTCCACTATCCCAAGTTGCTCCAAGCTCCACCCAGCCTGGCCTTGGACACTTCTGAGGATGGGGCAGCCACAGCTTCTCTGGACAACCTGTGCCAGAGCTTCCCCACCCTCACAGGGACAAATTTCTTCCCAATATTCAATCCAACCCTGCCCTCTGTCAGTGAGAAGCCATTCCCCCTTGTCCTGTCACTCTGTGCCCTTCTCCAAAGTCCCTCTCCAGCTCTCCTGCAGCCCCTTTAGGCACTGGCACCCTTAAGGTCACCCCAGAGCTGCTCCTCTCCAAGCTGAACAGTCCCAACTGCCTCAACCACCACGGGACTTTCAGCCTAAGGACTGGCTCAGGGCACAGGTGTTTTCCAAGGATGGGGGAGCTCTTCACAAACCCCTGTCTTTGCTGTAGGGCCTGGATTTCAGACTTACAGCCCCAGTCCCCCCAAGAAAACTGTGCTGTGGCGGGATAAGCTGGGCCTGAGGCTGCAGGGGTGAGAGGTTAAACAACTCTCGAACTGTACACAAGCTGAAAGAACTGCTGCCAGGGTAACTCCTAGAAAAGTCAGCCCCAGCCCAAAGGGCTGATAATGAATCTGTGCATAAGCTAAACAAAGTGCTGACGCAGCCTTCGCCGGAGCAGCACTCTCAGCCCCGCCGTAACACGGGGCCAGGATGGAATTCCACTGTGATTGACACTGCCATCACATCATCTGTTACCCATCTCACTTTTCCTCCCTTCCTCTGCTTTTCACTTCAAGGGACAGGACCTGCAGCAGCACAGCCTGCAGAGCCCTCCTTCGATCTGTTTTCCATCTGAGCATCCTCCTCTGAGGGTTGACTCACGCTCGGTGACAGAAAGCGCCGCCTCTCTGGGCTCTTCCAAGGAAACAGCATGAGAGAATTCTCTAATTCAGACTTTTTGGCAGGCTTGACATACTATGCATTATAGTGTATATTTCTAGACAATGTCTTTGCCCTTTTGTGGTCATTCCAGAACAAACCGAGCTGCCTCCCTCAACATTTGGTGTTTTTGCAAACTTTCAATGCCTCAGACCGAACAGAGGTTTGGAATAAATCAAACTTTGGTGGAATTATTTTAACACATGAACAATAAACACTCCCCTTCTATTCCTGCTTTGCTACTAATTCACATCACAGTTACTCCAGGATTTTGCTGCAGGAAAATACATTCCAGCCTCAGACATGACGAATGAGATGCACAGCTACAGCCATGGTTGTTTTGTGTGTTTATGGGAGACCTGCATCCGTCCCAGGCTTGGGTCTTTAAAACCTGAGCTGTAGAAAATCATCAGTAGTGAAACATGAAACCAAAAGAGACTGACCCGGACTGGGATTTGGTTATACAGGGGAAAGTCAGGCTAAGTTCACCTAGAGAGTTGTGAAGGTTCATGAACCTTGTGAGTGAGCAAAGGTCCAGTCCTGAACACGCCCAACCAAACGTTTTCCGGAAATTTTAAACAACTACGTGTTTGGGAACAGAGGGATCCTGGAAAATAAATAGTTTTGATAGGAAATACATTGGAGAGAGACCTGGTGGCTTCAACAATGTTTAGTGTTAATATGTTGAATGAACTGCAAGTTCAAGCTCACACAGAGGCTGAGAAGTGTTACATGAGTGGGAATGAAGCACAAACTCCTCGTTCCTGGGGAACACAATTAAAAATGTGCCACTTGCAGCTCTAGAGTTAAGGAGACTTGTATTTTGCTTTATTGGATGTCTGCACTGTGTCTGAAGTGTGGATCTCTCTAGCTGGCTGAGACCTTCACATATTCAAAGCATCTCCTCATTTTCTCCTGAAAAGCCTCTCAGGAATAATTTTTTTACTACAAACTCCCAGTCTTCCATTTTTGCACCTCCTTTCAGACGTGCTCAGCAAAACACACCCCCAACACATATGCAATGAAACTGAAGGTTCTGTTAGCACTGCTTTGACATCTGAAAATCACAAATATTTCTGGGGAACAGGTCCTTAGGGACAGGCCCTATCAGGATTACAATACCCTAAAATAAAATCTGGGAATTCACCGCTGTAAGAGGATTTCCCGGAGGCAATGAAGTATGTCAGCAACTTGACAGCAGTTGGGGATTTTGCTTTGGGTCACGACTCCAGCTTTTTTTCTCCCAGATTTGGCCAAAGGAAATGGAAAAAGATTTACAGTACAGCTAAAGGCCAGCCACCAAATCTCATGACTTCTCCTCTGGTATCTAATCTTTAGGTTTGAAAGGAACCAAAGCCACAGCTTCAGACTTCCGTTACCACTACCAGGCTCTTAAAGGTGAGGGGAAAATTACAACAATGCATTTTTTAAAGGCCACATTGCTAATCCATAGTCTTACTAGCATGCTGCCACATGGCAAACAAAGGTGACTCTGCTGTCCCTTACCCTGTGGGTTTGGGCAGCAGCGGTGATGCACAAACCTGCCCTGAGCTCCAAACACGAGGCACGGTGGTGGTTTTGGCCTCGTGACTGTCAGCAGCAGAGGAAAGTGGGTTTCAGGATGGAGTTTTTTGGTGATGAACCTACCTTTGGTACCTCTGGCTTGTGCCCCACTTGAGGTGTTCACTCCAGGGCAGTGCTCATCTGGTAGCCTAAAAACAGAAAGGAGGAAAAATTCACAACCAGAATTTTTTTTTTTTTTTCCCCCACAATAGTAAGACCAGGAATTAGCTTTGCCTTCCCCTGATAAAACTCCCCAGCCACACTGTGATGGGCAAAGGATTAGGAATTAAGAGATGGGATGGTGGGGCACATGCCATAAACATCCCTTCTGTGTGCCAGAGCACACACAATAAAGCTTAATTTCCTGGTGCTGTGCCCCGACTGTAATCCACTGCCCAGATCTCCCTCCTGCTCCCAGCTGAGAGCCAAGTCATTCTGTAGGATTATTTTGTTAAGAGCAAAGCTATTTGATCTGAGGAGATTTAGCACCAGATTATGGCCGCAGCTTTTTTCCGGATCAGCGGCAGCGGAGGGAGAGGGCAGGAGTTGTGTGGTGATTTGAGTCAGAGCCTGGAGCCTGGGAGACCCAGGTCCAGTCCTTACAGCAAGCTCCCCATGCATCTGGAGATAAGATACCTTCTCCTGCTGTTTCCACGCTGTACCTCACAGGCAGGTTTTAACAGTGCTACTGATTTAGGGAAAATTCCTGCTTTTCCTTCACCACAGAATCAGAGAAAGGTTTGGGTTGGAAAGGACCGTAAAGCTCATCTCATTCCAATTCCCTGCCATGGGCAGCGCCACCTTCCACTGGACCAGGTCACTCAGAGCTCCATCCAACATGGCCTTGAACACTTCCAGGGATGAGGCACATTGCTGCAGATGTTCCTGCTGTCCTGTGTTTCATGAATTGGTTAATGACAATGATTCTCCTCCAGACTCCTTAAAGTGTGAGTACATGGGGTTTTTTGCACCTTAATATTCCCTTTACACACACAGACAGCTCTAACATGTGTAGGCAGTGGGAACAGTCTCACAAATTTCATAATGCCAGCTTTTCCAAATCAGCCAGTTCCAGCCAGAGCGGTTTTTAACATCATTTTTTAGACTCTCACACTGCTGGAAAGTGTCACCTCTGTGACAACTCCCTTCCTACAAGAAAAGACTGTTGCTACCATATGCTTCCCCAGAACTGCTCTTCTGCCACACCTGCAGCTCCAGAGGGAAGAATGTTTGTCTCAGGGCTCTCAGTTGGGTTGGCACCAACATAACCATCCCTGGTACCACTGTAAAGTCTTTCTGTAGTAAGTACAAACCATTTTATAGACGGAAGGTCTCATCAGAATTTCAGATTCGCTCCACAGGGGGGGGAAATAAAAGGTACCACACATCCCTTGCACCCCACAGGCTGAAAGTGCACCTGGAGTCCCCATCCCATCCCATTCCCCTCCCTTTTCCCACCCTGTCTCTACTTCCTACACCAAACCCACAATGTTTTGAATGTTATGCACCTGGAGCAAACCACGACTCACAGAACAGCAACAGAAACCACAATCATAAGTCCCATAACCCAAAGCAGCCATCACGGGATGCTCTGAATCTCTTCCAGCTTCATAAAACAATGGCAAAGCCTCCTTTGATTGCTGTGGGAGCAGGTTTTAGCTCTTTCTGAACCAATTAAATACTACTTTCTCCGGGGCCATGCCTTAGGGTTAATTCCTTGCAAAACACTGACAGAGCCGTGTCCCTTTGAGGACAAAATGTAGTTGGTAAACTGTTGCCAAATCTGCTTTAATTTTTGTGTGTGTGGAACTATTAAGCAGCAACAGGGCCCATCACACCCCAGGGTACACATCTAACATGTAAAGCCCTGTGGCAGTGGGATGTAAAAGCTTCATATCAGCTCATGGGGGGCTGTCTTTGAATCAGCAGCCTGATGCAACCCACAGACCAGCCCTGGGACAGTCAGCCTCCAGGGTTTTGTGGCCCTTCATTTAGAAACCACAGGACTACATCATAAAAATTACACAGTGATGTTGCTTAGACTGGAAAAGGGAAAAAGTTAATTTAAATAAAACATCACGGAATATAACTATAATTATCATGTTACCAAGTGTGTCTCCTCTTACACAGCCCTACCAGTTACAGGAAATACTGATCAGCTTGAAAACACAAAACAACTGCTCTTAGGATTGGATATACTGGTGAATCTTTCCAGCTCCATGATGAATTCTTGGATGGCTAAAAAAGAAGTGAATACTAGGCACTGCACACCTGCCAGAGGTACAAATTATTAATGGTCAGAAACAGAACTGACCATTAGCTCACCACCAACTGTGGTGAGAGGGAGATGATTTTTAAGCCTTGGTTACAGGCTCTGTGTTCATTCCGTGGATTTGCTAACACCTTGAGCCAAATGATTAAATTTTTACCGCTCTTTACGAATTCGATCTTTATATTTCACCCACAGATCAACTTCACTGAGGTAACAACGACCCCAGGCCTTCAGGTCCCCTCCTGTAAGAGCAAAGCTGAAGGGCTGGCCAGGGAGATATCACAGGGGTTGATAGCTGAGAGACTCGGCACGGGCAAGTACGATCTCCTGAGACACGTAAGGAGGCAGAGGAAGGTGGTCCTGAGCCTCCACTGGCTCTTGGGAAAAGGTGGGATGGAAAAGGTGGGATGCAGAGGCCACCACGTTAGCCAACCCCCCCGCCCCATCCACCGTGCTGCAGGAGTTATGACCTCTCTGGACTACAAGCAACGCCCTGGGGACTGTGGGTGTCGTGTTGCTCAAAACTGGATGCTGAAGACTCTTGCTGAAGCAATTTATTGCCTTTCACAGAGGAAATGAGTACAAATTTGGCTGGGGACGTAAATAAATATGAGATCATTTGCTTAGCGCTGGCTTATGTGAAGAATGATTCGCGTTTAACTGTTTCCATCGTCTGTTGTCCAAATCCTGGAGGTAGTGTACTCCTCCTGAGATCAACAGGAGCTGCAGGTGCTCTGCACCTCAAAACAGCCACATTTCTTAGAGCCAAAACAAGCATTGGGCACTTTGCAACTCTCTTTTCCAGGATTTAGTGTTTGCAGCCTTTGTTACCAAAAAATCAAACCGACCCTTGTTAAAGCCATGAGGCAATTCATGGCTTGTCTTTTTCAAATTTCCATCTAGGCCACGTTTCATACTAATATGTTCACCAAGTCTAGGTGTTTTGCACCAGATCTTTCTTTGTGCATATATATACATATATATAGAAAGAAACCATTCAAAGTAACACTTGGTAGAAGAAACAACAGTGTGATTCCCAACTGTTTGAGATTATGATTATTCAAAATGTTATCTCAATGCACGGATCCCAATGTTCAGCCTCATGTGTGGAGTTCTGGCTGAAGGGCTCTGACTGTAGCGGCGTGATTATGCACGTAGCGTTAATGAAAAGTAGAATATGGCTATAAATCAGTTTGCAGAGCACCCAGTTAGCGCTCCAAGTACAAAGTTTGGTTCCTGCCATCAAAGCACTCTGTGAACAATAGAAGCCTGCACTGTAGTCTGCGTTGTCAGATGGAGGGAAGATGTGGATGGTCTGGGGGAGGCTGAGCTCCCACAGATTTGCTTTTCTCAGAGGAAGCACGAGGTTTAGCATAAATCTGTGCGGCATGCCACTGAAGACACACTGCTAACAACCTCTGGAGCTAGGGACAACGTCACAGGCCACGGAGGGAACATTTCCAGGTCAAAAGGGTATGACTGCCCCAGGAATAGCTGCTGGTTTGAAAGCTGTGGGCCTCTGTGTTCTGAAGGTGAGATATACCGTGGTATCAACCCCTGCAGGAGCATCTTGGGCTTTGGAGTGTTTTACTTGAAGCTTCAGTTCATCAAGTCATGTACCAAACACCTATGGAGGGCAGACTGGGGTTTGGTGGAGCATTTTCAGCTCCTTCATAAAAACACAGAATGGTTTGGGTTGGAAGAGACCTTCAAGGGCACCAGGTCCCAACCCCCTGCTCCAGACAGCTCCTCTGGCCCTGGCCAGGGATACTTTCATGGCAACTCCTCAGGTCCTGTGTACCAGGAACTGAAAGAGAACAGCTTCCACTCTAGATTCAGGTCTTGGTGAACCTGCTTCCCATGCCAGTCATGAGTTTCTAGGAATAATCTACCCATCCTGTGACAGCAGCTACGGGAATCGCAGACTATTCCTGCCTTCATCTCCAGGGTTTGTTCCAGCAGCCTTTGAGAATCAATGTCCCCAGAGAAAACTCAGGTAAAACAGGCCAAGCAGAACATCAGACCTTGTCATCCCCTGGGGATCTCCTGAGATCATCCCTTTCTGCATCTGTTTCTTTATCCCTGACTGCAGCCAACCTGACTAAACCACGAAGAGCTATGAGCTGTCCCTCCTCGTATTGTAGGGCCATTGGGCTCTGGAGCACAACGTGTTCCTTGCAAGTGGATCTCCATGCAGACAGTCTTGGGGTGAAAAACAGACCCAGCAGTGGTTACCCCCCTCATCCTCTCAATGTCCATCTATACTCAGCTCTTTAAAAAAAAAAAAAACATGTTGTTGTTACAAGCACCTTGCTGATAATAAATCCTTTCTCATGCATCCTTTTAATGCCAGCACCCTCAGGCAATGCCGAATGGAAAGAGTAAGGTTTCAGGCTCCCTACCAAGAAATTCCTGTTTTCAAAAGGCCAGACACAACAGCTGGGAAATTTTTGGTTATTGCTGCTTTGTGTCAGCTCTTGCCCATTCCTGGAGGAGGGGTGTAATTTCTGAAGCCTAACAGCATTTGAACCAGGCTGAGCAACCTTTGAATAATTTTTTGGCTGACATTTCACAGAGGCAGGAGTGTGTGTACTAACACACAGCTATATGTGTATTTTATAGCTGTCTGTACACACACACATGCCTGGGGGGGATAGGAAGGCGGGTAACTCAGCATGTCTGGCTTTCAAAATGCTGATTCAGGAGACTGGAAGCTGCCCCCAGGTTGCTGTTCTACCAGACCCTGCCTAGTTTTCACCCCTAATCCAGAGGTGCCCAGGATGTCTGTTTAGGGTGAGGGTCCAGCCTGAAAAGCAGTGGCTGCCAGCAGCTCTGCTGGGCTGTAATTATTAACAGATTTGTTTTTGTGGTGTTCACATTCCTAGTGCTTCCCCTGCCTTAGCCCCTCTCAGGGAGCTGTCTCCTCCTCCTCACATGCCAAGCCCCTGTGGGGACACACATTTCCATGGGCAGCAGCAGTGGAAACCATAGTATTATCCCAATCATCTCCTGGAAGATGCCTCTTGCTCTCTCCAGCACCACACCTCCATTGCAGCAGGAGGGGTTTTTTGTCCTCTCATGAGTGCCTTCACCCTTGGATCCTCTCAGGGGAAACAAAAAGGTGTGGCTGCCACACGCATGCCCACAATCTTTGGGGACACACGTGTGCACAGAAGAGGAGGGAATCCCCTCAATTCCAGGAAAAGCAAGGGAAGCTGTCTGAGCATTAAGCCCCAAAAACTTCTGGACAGGTGGTGAGATCTTCAACATGTAGGACAGAGCTGAACTGGAGACCTGAGACGAATCAGACCAAGCTCTGAGTGTCTTATCAGTCCTGTGCTGCCCTCCTGTACCTGTGAGCTGTTGGGGGCTTTGTCCTGGGTTTTTCATCCACAGGCAGGGACTATCCAGCTGCACCAGCAGCACCCAGAACCCTCTAACCCTTAAGAATCATCTCCTGACAAAAACTCTGAGGCATTTTGAATCCACGTCCACCTTTCCCAGCAAAGACCTTAAACCCTGAATATTTTGGGTTTACAGGTTCTTTGGGCCTGAGTCCGAGAAGGAACATCTCCTTCCTCTTCCTCCCACCCACCTGGGCTTATGAATGCAGCCAGTGGGGGCATTCCTTGCCCGTGGAATGTGGAAGGAGTTTTGCAGCAAAGTCGCCACGCCGGGTCTGCCGGTCTGGCTGCCTCTCCCCTGTGGGGATCCGGCCTCTGCTGAGGAAAAGCAGATAGAGTTTCACACAATCCAAAGCACATGTACAGCCGCTAAAGCTGCGTAAGCACTTTTCTTCCTAGGGAAAGTTTCCAAATGTATGTTTCAAAGGAATGTGAAAATGTTCCCCCTCCTTTCTTGCCCGCTTCCTATAAATCCAGCCTGATGCGGACAATCCCCCCGGACTCCCGTCCAAGAGGGATTTAAGGGTTGGGAAGGGGCAGGGATGACAACACTGGGAATTCACACCCTGGGCAGCCAGTGCAGAGGAGGCCCTTAGAAAAGGACTTATCAGTCATGGAAACCACTTAAGATTAATCATACGGTATTGCCATGAGAAAACACACTCAAGCACTCAAACCCAGTGAAAATGGATGTGTTTGGGGTCATTTTCCTCTGTTTAAACATCATCAGATGTTTGCATCCTCCAGAGGCAATTCAGCTTTTAGGGCATCCCCTCCTCCTCCGGGAATGTCCACGCAAAAGGAAATTTCTCCATGGGAAGTAGTTTATTAATAGCCAGTTTTCATGGTGGAGGAGAAGAGAAAAGCCTTGACAAAACATTTCTGAGCAGCTGCTTTGTGCATGTATGGCTGCAAGGACTGGGAGCTGCAGAGCTGCTAAACAAGAGCTCAAGGGGAAGAGGGCAAAGATCTGGGGTCCCCAGCATAGGAAGGACATGAGCCTGTTGGAGTGAGGCCAGAGGAGGTCACCAAGGTGATCAGAGGGATGCAGCAGCTCTGCTGTGAGGAAAGGCTGAGAGAATTGGGGTTGTTCAGCCTGGAGGAGAGAAGCTCCAGGGTGACCTAATTGTGGCCCTCAGTACAGGTCCCTCCTCAGAGGGAGCTAAAAGAAAGGTTGAGAGGGACTATTTACAAGAGCATCGAGTGACAGGACAAGGGGGAACAACTTAAAACTGACAGAGAGTAGTTTAGACTGGATACTGGGACGAAATTCTGTGCTGAAGTGGGTCTGTCCATGTGCACTGACACGTGAGCACTTATACGGCTCCTACAGCCTCCTGCTTCTCCCACCCACCCCCGAGGGCTGAGCGTGGCCCTCAGCCAGGGTGGAGGGATGCCAGCTGTGAGCAAGGACCTGCAGGGCCATGTGGGAAGCAGCTCTCCCTAGGGAAATGGCTGAAAACCGCACTTATATCCATGTTTTTGCACTACAAATCCCCAGCACAGAGCTGAGTCATTCTAGACAGGCTTATCGAGGACGATTTCCCCTTCAACTCCAAAAGCACTTGGTGGTTATAATTATTCTTCTCTCAAATAAGAGGAGAACAAATGAAATCCAAACAAACAAAAAAACAACCCAACCCACTCAGAAAAAGCCTCCTCCTCCAAACATTGTATACATAAAGTCATGGAGAAGGAATGACAAACTTCCAGTGCTTCTGGTGGGTCGCCACGTTTATTTGCAGACTTTTGTATTCTTGCAAAATGTCACGTAAAAACGCCATCGGAGGTCTGCACAAAGTTCCTGTTGAGGCTGTTTTATTTCCTATCTAGATTTAACCAACAGACCTACAGATCAATTTCCTCAGTAGAAGGAAAACTACAGGTTTTGCAGTTCCAAAACCTTCCCGGTGCCTCGTCTGCACAAGTGTGTGTGTGGGTTATGTGTGTGTGTGTCTGCAGGCTCCAGAGGTGAAGAGAAGGAATAAATGTTTGGGCCTTATTCCCAGGGAATGGCAAGCAGCAGAATGGCATTGTGTATTTGTGTCTGTTTACACCCACCAAGGATCTAAAATTACAGTTGAAGGAGGAAGCTAAAGCTGGAGTTTTCAATAAGCCTAAGCAGTTGAATTTAATGCTCAGGAGCAAGGGGGGCAGTTCTGGTACTAACTGAGAGGAGGGCTAGACTTGAGAAATTGTAATAGGAGACAATTTTCACCTTATTATCCACCTTAGGAAAACCAAGCCTTCTAAATATGCCTCAGAAGAGAAACCACAAAATGTTGTTTAATGCTGGAAAAGCCTTTCTGGGACTTACAGCAGCTTTCAGTCATGAAAAGGTAAAAATACACCCAGATCCTCTTTTCTTGCAGATAACTTCAGACTAGAAATTCCTGACACCCAACCTGCCAAAATTGTCCAGACCTGCTCAAAATCACAAACAGAAATAAACTGTAGTCCCAGAAATGGGAAAGACCAGAAGCCACTAAGCAGGAATCTAATTTTGTAACCAGGCCCTTTTTTTTTGATCTCTTTTACAGGTAATGTAGTCCCTGGATAGACCTCAGGCTCAGCATCCTTCAGGGAGGGGTGAGAGATAACTAATCCTGCAGAATTCCCTGTGTGTGGGAAACCGAGGCGGGCAGCTGTGGGATGACTTCTTACAGTCCCAGCAGCCAGGAGAGGCTGAGAAGGAAATGTGCCTCTCCCAAGGGCACACAAAGGCAGAAGCTGAGGTTACACACGGCCTGCAGGAAGGAGCGTGAGCTGGAGAGAGGGAAAAGGCCTGACCTGTCATCGGCTTTCCCTCCCGCTCCCCAGCACTGAGCAGTAAAAAGTAGATGATAGGAGAGTTTCCCAGTCCTTCCCACCGCTCCCAGCCGTGGCTGGGGCTGTTGTTCCCTTTCATCAGCTGTGCTGGCCATTGCTCCAGAGCTCAGGTGCAGGGGGAAGCAGGTGAAGAAAGACTCCTGCACCTCGAGGCATGGAGGCAGCTTCACTTTAAAGGGAAAAGAGCCCAGAGGAGCTCCATGGCCCCATCCCCAGCAACCACTACATCAGCCAGAGCTGATTCCCACCATCACATCACTTCTATAACCAAGGTGTTAGCTGGGAACAGCCCTCCCCTGCTATAGCTCAAACTTGGTCCAGAGGACTCTGTATCTGAACTGGGCACACAAACCTCTGGCACAGAGGGGAAAAAGCTTTCTTCAGTAGCTCACAACCAGATCTCTGTCCCAGTTTGGTTATTTTTCATGACAGCTCTGCCTGGAAATTTCTACAAACACAAGCAAAAAGTACCACACTGTGGGGATGACCACGCAAGCAAACTTCCAGGATGAAATTGCTGTCTGTCCTGCTCCTTCTGGGAGAGGCTGAAACAGCACAGGAGCCCTTTTCTCACTGTGGTCCAACAGTGTGTGATCCCAAAAAAGCCAGGACCTGGTGCAACTCCCAGGCATGAGACTTCCTTTAATTCACAACCTCTTACTGCCTCCCCCACAGTCCCTGCAGTAGTCGGGTGCACTTCACAGCACAGTCGGATTCCTCAGTGATGCACAGAGTTCATAAATGCTCAATAGAGCTCCTTGAGCACGTTACAGACGGGAAAATTATACACTACTGACGGCAAGCTGTGGGTGCTACCCATTGATTACTCGTTTATTAAAATACAGCCCCCTTTCCAGCCGCTTGGGAATAAAAGACTTGCTATAAAGCTCAACTCTCTCGAAAGCACAGAAGTGCATGGGGATGAAATTCCTTCCCAGACATGGAGGTGACCCGTATTTACTATACACATTATCCCACGTTTAAATTTGGAAGTGGAAGGAGGGTGAGGCAGGGAGTTCAGATTCCAGTCAGAGCTTCCCTGCAGCCGGAGGTGAGCTCTGATGCCAAGGCTGGCTTTCACGGGAGAGCCTCACTTTCTTTGGATCACTTTGTCTGTGTTTCAGACTGGGTGGGGAGAGGTTCCTTAGCACAGACATCTGACCAGGCTTACTCACAAGGGTTACTCACCAGCCACTTGCCGGTGGGGAAGGAGAAGTTCAAACCCCGTTCTTTGCCCAGGCCCGAGAAACAGCCACAAATCACCTTAAAGTGAAAGGGTTGGGTTCGATTCAAGATCATGTACCCTGTGGTTTGTATGAAAAAGCAGCATCAGTTGGAAGGAATTTCTCTCAGCTGGAAGTCAGGAAAAATACCTCTGGCCACTGAATGGACTGGGTATTTCTTGAAAGCCAGAGCACAAAGATAGTTCTCCGGGGTGAGGAGCAGGGGAACCCTCCCTGTCGGCTGTTGTCTGCATGGAGAGCAAACCACCCCAGCCACTTGCTCAGCCCTCAGACAACCACACAAGCCCTCTGCAGCAGCACAAGGCCAAGTCAGGCCTCAGTGAATTACACCCCATTCCCTCTATGTGTGCTAGCAATTCCCAGCCAGGCTGTTGCATCCTACGTTCATATGCCGGAGAAACGAAAGCCAAAATTGCCAACTTGGAAGTTTGAAGCTTCAAACCCCCCTATTCCATGAGGGACTCAACAGGAAGCTCAGCTTGCTTCAACCTGAAGGTTAGCAGGTCCTGCTGCCGCTGGAGAACACCTGGATCTAGATCCAGCTCAAAGTCCTGTGTATAAACGACACCTGCAAACCCAAAGCTGAAGCTTGATGGCACTCGTGTGACAGCCTGTTCTCCCAGCAGCTTGAGAGAGCTGGAGTGAGGACCCAGTCAGCCTGCAGAGCACACAGTGACGGTCATGCCTCACACTGCACGGCTTTTTCGAGCAGTGTAAAGAGTTCAGCAAATTAAAAATTATCTAAAATAAGTGGTAATTAAAAAAGAAATTAAAAAAAGAAAATAAAAAAGAAAAGAAAGGGAAATATTATTTTAAATATTCCTCCACTGCTGTGTAGACTGTTTCCTATTAAAGGCAACTGTGTGCAGTGTTTCCATTAAGATTCTGCTTCCTGTTGTGTAATATGGAATGTTAAAAATCTCAATATCTCTCAAGAAGTCATTACAAACTCCAGAGAGCTTTCTATTCCCAAGAAATCTCTCCCAGTGGGAAACTGGAATAGTTCCTGCTGAATTTACAGCAAATGCCTCAGACCCTATGTAATATTTATGGTGTCCCTCTCATCTTATCCAGGCTGGTTTGCTGTTCTGCTGCTGTGAAAGAAAAGCCTGTTTCAATGGTTCAGGGCTGTGACACTCACTTTGAAGGATATTGAAGCGGATACGATAGCCACAGGAAATGTTCCAGCCTCGCTGAGGTACCTCCAAGAGGTATTTGGTCAAATGAGAATTTACTAATCTGATTCCCAGGAAGGAAAAAAAAAAAAAAATCACTGTAACCTAATGAAGAAAGAGAAGGAAATGTGACAGATCTGCATTCATGGCTTGCCAGATCTGGATTCCGTGAATGCCG